TTTACTTCCTGGATCCATAGCCGAAAACAGAAATTTCCGCTACGGCATCATAGAATATCCCAATAACTGTAATAGCCCAAAAGGAGTACTAGTAGCCTCAACACTCGTCGACCTATCCAGAACGGTTATCCCGGTGAGAGTCGCCAATGTAACTGAGAAGGCGAGAGTTATTAAGAAAGGTGAAGTGGTTGCAGCATGTACTCCAGTAACCAGCGTTGAAAGAAAGAGTAACATCCCAGAATCCGTGTCCTCAGAGAGCATTACATCGGAGTTATTGCAGAATGCGCAATTAAACGATGAAGAGAAGAATGCTGCCGATCGCGTCATTAAAGATCTTCAAGTTGTTTTCTCCCGCTCGTCTTCTGACGTGGGTCGAACTAGTTTGACACAACATAGAATCGATACCGGCGATCATCCCCCGATCAAGCAACATCCAAGACGTCTACCGTTTGCTAAACAGGAAGAGGTACGAACACTTTTAAAGGATATGGAAGAAGGCGATGTCATCGAGCCTTCAGCAAGTCCATGGGCATCTCCCATCGTCCTAGTCAGAAAGAAAGACGGCTCAACAAGATTTTGCGTCGACTATCGCCGGTTGAATGAGGTTACGAAGAAAGACAGTTACCCTCTTCCTAGAATTGACGACATTCTAGACACTCTTTCTGGAAGCAAGTGGTTCTCAACACTTGATTTAAAGAGTGGGTATTGGCAGGTAGAAATACACCCTGATGACCGAGAAAAGACGGCATTTACTACGGGACAAGGGCTTTGGCAATTCAAGGTGATGCCGTTTGGACTGTGTAATGCGCCGGCAACATTCGAACGTCTTATGGAGACTGTTTTGAAAGGCCTTTCCTACGAAGCCTGTCCTGATATACCTGGACGACATCATCATCGTCGGAAAGAGTTTTGAAGAACATTAGAAAATCTTAGGAAGGTGCTTCAGAAACTGAAAGAAGCCAATCTGAAGCTGAGTCCCGCTAAATGCAAATTGTTCCGAAAGGAAGTGACTTACCTGGGACATGTCATCTCTGCAGAAGGTGTGTGCACGGATCCTGAAAAGGTATCAGCGGTTAAATCCTGGAAACGTCCCGAAAATGTCCATCAGCTGAGAAGCTTCCTAGGGCTTTGCACCTACTATAGGAGATTCGTGAAGGACTTTTTCTTCCATCGCAAGACCCCTTCACAAGCTGACAGAGAGCAAGCAAAAGTTCTTGTGGACAAAAGAATGCGAGGATGCATTTAACAACTTAAAGGAGGCTTTAACATCTGCTCCAATCCTGACGTATCCTCAGCTCGACAGACCATTTATTCTCGACACCGACGCGAGCAATGAAAGTGTCGGTGCTGTTTTGTCCCAAGAAATAGACGGCCAAGAACGTGTAGTAGCGTACTGGAGCAAGTGCCTGTCTAAACCGGAGAGGAATTACTGTGTCACCAGGAAAGAGTTGCTCGCCATAGTCAAAGCTGTAGAACATTTCCATCATTATCTATACGGCAGAAAATTCCTCCTCCGCACGGACCATGCCTCATTGGTCTGGCTTTTAAATTTCAAGAATCCTGAGGGTCAAATAGCCAGGTGGATACAGAGACTCCAAGAATATGACATCACTATCCGTCATCGTAAGGGATCATCACACACGGAAACGCCGACGCCCTGTCTAGAAGACCTTGCCAAGAAAGCTGCCGATATTGTTCCAGGGTGGAAGCGAAATACGAGCTGCTGACTCCGGTCGCAAGACAAATTACAACATCAACATCGGCTGATCGAGACCGTGGAGTGATGATGAAGTCAGGAAAGACCAGCTGGAAGACCGCGACATTAAACCCATAATTGATTTAATGGAGTCATCAAACAGAAAACCTACCTGGCAGGACATTTCTATCTGTAGTCCTACAACCAAACAATACTGGGCACTCTGGGATTCACTTCACATTCGAAACGGCGTCTTATACCGGAAATTCGAATCGGATGATGGGAAGACGTTCCGATGGCAACTGATACTTCCAAGATCCCGGATTCCTGATGTCCTTAAAGAACTACATAACAGCCCTACAGGAGGTCACTTTGGAATAATGAAGACCTTACAGAGAGTTCGTGAGCGCTTTTACTGGAATAATGCAAAGGATGACGTGCAAAAGTGGTGCCGATCTTGCGATGCCTGTGCAGGTCGGAAAGGACCGAGGAAACGCAGCCGAGGCAAGCTGCAACGTTACAACGTAGGTGCGCCTTTTGAACGTATCGCCTTTGACATCCTGGGACCTCTGCCACGAACTGCTGATGGCAACAAACATACTCGTTGTCATTGATTACTTCACCAAGTGGCCTGAAGCTTATCCTATTCCTGATCAAGAGGCTGTCACAGTAGCTGAGGTAATGATACAGCACTGGATTTCCAGGTTCGGAGTGCCTCTTCAGTTACATTCCGATCAGGGAAGGAATTTTACCTCGGCAGTAATCAAAGAACTATGCAAACTACTCGGCATTGACAAAACTCCAAACGACGCCATTGCATCCCCAGTCGGACGGCATGGTAGAGAGGTTCAATCGAACCATCCTTAATAACCTCTCATTAGTGGTTTCCAGAAACCAACAGGACTGGGACAAGAAATTACCACTCTTTTTACTGGCTTACCGCAGTGCTGTCCACGAGACTACCGGCTATTCTCCATCACAGATGCTCTTCGGTCGTGACCTTCGTCTGCCTTGTGATCTATTGTTTGGCCGCCCTCCGGATGCTCCTTCATCGTCTGAGGAATATATTCAAGATCTCCAGGCCCGGTTTGAAGTGATGCACAACTTTGCACGAGAGCGAGTCAACTTGGCGACGGAGAAGATGAAGACCCGCTACGACACAAGAGCTACTGAACATCAATTCCACGAAGGAGACAAGGTGTGGTTGTGGAATCCGACTCGACGGAAAGGACTTTGTCCGAAATTACAGTCACCTTGGGATGGCCCGTACACAGTCCTAAACAGGCTGAATGACGTCGTGGTTCGGATTCGTAAGTCTTCGAACTCTAAACCTAAAGTCGTTCATTACGACAGGTTAGCTCATTACTATGGCCATAGTACGTAATGTAAATAATTGTAAATAGTATAAGACCATGGTCCTTTTTTGTTTTTAAATGTGTATTTGATTTGATTTGTATTTAGTATTTGATTTGCATTTAGTATTTGATTTGCATTTAGTATTTGAGTATTTGTATTTGTATTTAGTATTTGATAGTTTTGATTTGTTTAAGTTAGTTATTGCATTTATTGTTCATGTTGTTATTATTGTAATGTAATGCTTAGTTGCATTTATGCCACAGTTGTAAGTTTAGCTTCCTGTCCAGGGATTGTACTGCCCGGGACGTGCAGTCCTTGGGAAGGGGGCAGTGTTACGAATTTGGTATTTAAAAAGCTAATGTTAGTTCAATTATAAATTAAATGGTTTTATTTCTCGCGCAGTGCAGCGCGTGACGAATATTAAAAGAAGAAAGCTAAGCCGGAAAATTAAAAATACAAGAGCGCGTGCATTAAATAAATAAATAAATATCTCTTTTTGATTTCGAGAAAGTACTGGAAAATTCTAGCGCGTGATTTTAAAATCTTATAAAAGGAGGAAAACATCTCAGTTCGTAGTAGTTGCTTAGTTTGTTGTTGTTTAGAAAACTGCTCTTGTTGATTGTAGCGAATTCGCGGATTAGCTTTCTTTAGCTGTTTTGAATTACGTTCTATTGGACATTTGAGTAGTTAAAAGATAACTACTGTGAGATATTGTAATACTACATGATAGAGAAAATTTAAGCATTTTTGTTGTGATAATAATAAATTTTTGTTCATTTTTCATCGGACTTGTGCATTCTTTTCGTAACGAACCCGTACGCATGCAACAATACTAAATACCAGTTAGTCCTTCTAGATGTAGGAAAACACTTTCCTAGTTTTATCTTTTTAATGCCTAAATCAACCACGTGAGATAATTTTACAATTTAATTTGATAATTTATACGTGAATTTGAAATATGCATTGCTTACGTATTTTACAAACTGTTATCATTAGTTATTAATTTTTCTACTGGCATATTGTTATATTCTAAAACCGTCGCATAAAAATGTTATATTTTATTTCCCCTTGTCTAGTGATAACATTGTACAAGTAGTATATTGTTCACCGTCCTTAATGTGATCGCGGTTCATGTTATAGTTAGGGTATTGTTATGTGATTGCCGAAGTACCGGCCATTTGTGTAAGAAAACATAAAAAAGACATTGATTATTGGGATCAACAAATTGGTTAATATGATTAATATGTTAGAGAATAAATTTTTTAATTGAACTAAAGCTGCCAAATAAGTTAAAAATGCATTTTAAAAATTGCCAAGTGACAGAGAAATGTTGCCAAGAAAGCAATCAAGTCACCAAACACCTTCGTTCCGATTTTATTCAAACATTTAAAATAAGCACAAAAACAAAACTTAATTCCACATAGATTTTCAATAACTCTGTCGATTTTGAGGGCATCAGATGCAGGTCACTCTTCTTCAAAAGCAAAAAACGCCTGAAGAATTTTTCCCCTGAAAACGCCTAAATTAAACTAAAGTTGCTTTTTTTGCTAATTTTAGATTTTACAATGGCAAGTTCTTTTCCAGTGAGAGGATGTCCTCCGAGTATTAAGATTAGCTGTGCAGCATCGGTCCAATAATTCCCAGAAACGATCGATTCATTAAAAAAATTTGTATTTTAATATACTTGAAAATAAGTATTTATATGTTTCTAGATATTTTTACATTAAATTAGTTACATCCGATTGCTATTTTAGAGGATATTTTTCTCATCGTTTAATGTTATTATTCGGTTAATGTTATCAAAATACTTGTACAAAAACGTAATCATATTAAGTGGCGCCTACAGTACTTCCTTTTCAGTTACAAGGCACAGCATTTTATTTCTAGAAATCCGAGATTTCATCTTTTACAATTTTAAGAATGCATTTAGATCCATCAAATCACTTACCTTTACGAAAGGAACTCTGTTTTTATCTTCGTGGACAGACAGATTGGTTTTGGATACTGCCAATAAATAGAAACGTGAGTTACATAAAATATACATGGCAATAGACAATGACAAACAAGGAAGGGTTTTTTGTGCATGCAAAAACAGATACTTACCATCGAGGAGATCACGAATTTTATCTAAATAAATTTCGAAATAGGAAATCTGAAAGAAACAAATTATTACGTATATAAGAAACAAATTACTGAGCATATAAAAAATTACAAAATTAGAATGAATTAACAAAAAATTATTAATTATTAAGAAACAAGTTTCACAAGCCTACAAACTTTGTTGTTGTGTCATGATTTTTTAATTTTCTTAATTAATTAATTGATTCATTTAATCAATTTAATTGATTCCTATGAATGTTTTAGCTCCAAATCCGAAAATGACGTTTGTTTTTTCCCATCTTGTCAGGGTTTTTCAGAAATCGCATCCTTCAGAATTTGTTGATAGTCGATGAATTGCGAAACTATGAGAATTTAAAATGAACTTAAGATCATTTTTCGTAAACCTTATTCTCTTTACTTTCTTGTACAATGTAAAGAAAGCATTGAATTTGCGAAACATTTTGGTTATAAGATTTCAACAGATATATAAGTTTTTCCCGACTCCATTTTGACTAAATACGAGTATGTTCCATTGTGACATCTGTAAGTACGCATGTCGCACAACTCAAAAGCGGTTTACCGTAAAATGCTGAAATTTCGTATTTGGAAATTTTGAATAATTTCGGCGTGCCGGCTGTATGTATCTCGCATAACTCAAAAACGATTTGCTCTAGAATGCTTTTCTAAATGAGCACTTTGAGCTAGAAGACCGTATCTAACGCATAATTACAAATGAAGTAACTTTAAATAAAGAGCAGCAAAAAGTGTGTATAATTTAAGTAGAGAACGAGGAAGCCTTGCGCTTCCCTAATCAGATTTTTTTAATATTTTGTTAAAGCACTAAGCGTTTGATTTTAGTAGATGGCAATAATGAATAATATTTTCATTAAAGAAAGTGAAAAATGTAAACGTCTTCTGCATAATTTGTACTTGAACAAAAATTGAATTCACATAATTTTGACGTTTTGAATTGCAGTTTTCTTATTATAAACATAGAAAATCCTACATAAAATGCAATCACTTGCTTATATTTGCAGAAAAAAATTAACATCTGTACCAATCTGAATTTGCATATATTATTATTCCTTAACTGTTTTCAAAGCTTGGCATTAGTTATTTTTCCCAACCTATTAAATACCGGTTTTCATTTGTACCATGGCTAAATGATTGGCTTTAAATTTTTGCGGCAATTTACACAGACAAAATTCAAAGTCAAGAGATTTTCAATCATAATAATTTCAATCATAATCATAATATAATGCACTATAGTAATCGATATCTTTCAAGAATACAGTATAATACATTAGAAGACTAACAACGTTCTGCATTAAAACATATTCAAAGAAATTAAATCTGATGTGGACACCACATGACTTCACCACACACATTCTAAATTATGTACAATTTTTGTAGCACTTATTTCCTTGAATTATTCTAACTTAGTTAACCGATCCCAGATGATCGAAAATAACATCTAAACAAGCTGAAAATAACATAAAAAAACTGCAAATTTTGAAATTTAATATCCCAGTTATTTCTTGGTGACACGGTTCCTTTCTTAACTTTCTTGGTCACAAGGTGAAGATTAATTCGAGTGTTGTTCTCCGTGATATGGGCACTCGGACCTCAGTTGGAGTGTACGACAATCTCCAAGATGGCTTTTGAGCTAAGTGCTCGCCCTGAGCCTAATATCGGGGGATTTAGTTAGGTCCAGCCGGAGTAATGTCATTTAGTTGACGAGGCGCGTATAAGTTTGAGTTAGTTAGTACCACGATGTTTTAGAACTGCGATATTCTCTCCTTGCTTTCTTTTCTCCCAGGATGCTTTCTAGACAAATTTTTTCCTTTGCGTGGTTTTTCTCTTCGATGTTTCCGCCTGTAACCCTTAAAATTGGGGCTAAAAGAATTTTATACTGTATATAAGGGAGGGTCTTCAAACCCTTCCTGAGTTCCTCGAGTTAAACCAACTCGTTCTGCGAATCAAAATAAAAGTTGGAAAAAAATTTATTAAGCACTAACACTAGTTGAGTAGCATTTATCAAGTGATATATCCATTAAAAAACCACGAAAAATCACAAAGTTTGCTAATGAAAGACAGGAAACAACTTATCGAAATATAAGTAGATTCGATGTTGAAATCTAAATTTTAGTAAGAGCAACTCGTAATTTTTTTCCTCAGAGTCATGTAAAATACTCAGAAGTTTTCAGGCAACTACAAACATTTTAAAGCCATTCGGGACAAATGTTGAAATGGAAAATCTTTCTCAAAATATATGACAACAAAAAAGAAAATACAGAAACAAATGCATATTGTGAAATGTTACTATCTATAACATCAATAGAGCTAGACCTGAACAGTTTGTGTAAAAAAATGCAAGCACATCCCTATCAATAAATGTAATTTAGGGAACATATAGATCACGAGTTTATACTATTAAAGATTGAATCATATTAGTTTTATGTTAAAATGTTTCAATAAAAAATAAAATACTTTTCTTTAATTATCTTTACATAAAGTACCTATAACATATTGATCTACTTCAAAAACTATTTTAAGATATACGTTTTTTAAGGGTAAACTCTAGAGTATGAATAAATATAATCTTCAATGGATAACTGCAAAGAATATATACTAATTAAATGTATAACCAGCGTTTATTTACATTCGTTCCATTTTTTGTGATGAAAATATATATTCGAATTAAAATTTCTGTTGGTTAATAAATAGTCTGTCACGTTTCATTTGAAGTCTATTTTTGTCACTATTCTGAAGTTAATAGTCTATTTTAGTCTATTTCTATCACGTTTAATTTGAAGGAAAAAACTCACCTTAATGTGGAACTCAATATTTTCATCCATGGAATAGATGTGGTTGAATATGTCGTTCACAATTCTAGGTATGATGCCTTGTTGGATATGGTCCCCGAGGATTCCCTGAAAAGCAGTTTTAAATAATTATTTCATAGTAATCAATCACATAAATAGATAATAAAATATCACGGGTACTTCAAAGCCAAAAGGTTTAACATCCAAATAGAATGTAAAAACTTGTTAAGTATTTTACAGTTAAACCTTGGTTCATGAATTTTATTTTTCCCCATCACAGTAAATCATTCGAAATATTCTTAAACTGAAACAATTTTCCTCATAGGAATTAATGTAAAATGAATTGATTCATTCCCGAATTCCAAAGGACTGCTTAGAAAACAGTGTTTTATTGTTAAGTTCGTAATGCAAAACAAGTGGTTTTCATTAAATCATATAACATTTACTTGGTCTAGCAATGTAAATCTAGGACTATAACTCTAACACACATGTAGTGAAATATCATTATGTGTGAGATAGCATGATATAGTCTTACGAAAGTTTTAAAACAACCATTTTAGTTAAACTGAAATTTTAACAAAAGAGGCACGATTCAAACTACAGATAACCACACCTGTGGATCTTAGTTTTAGTTTAATTCTTAGTCTTTTAAGTTCAAGCCCAAGTGCGGGCTTTGTTTGTACACTCCCAGGCGGAGTTTTGTTAAATCTTATTGGAATAATAAAGGGTTAGTTACCCTTCCATCTTGTCGTTTCTTGTCACACGAACTAGTTAGCGATTATTCGCTTATCAGTTCTTAGATTCTTCACTTCGAACATTAACTTAGAATTACAAAGTGAGGAACTCTACAAGTTAAATAGTAAGCTAAATGTTGGCTCACTAATTTATCAACGCGTCAATTTAAAGTATAGAAAACCAGAGAACGCAAAAGCCGAGACAATTACATTTAACTGGAGCTGGACATTACATTTAACTGGAGCCGAGAGAATTACATTTAAGTGGAGCTGCATATAACCACGCAGAGCGCATGCCACACCCTCTCTCTCAAGATCAAAAAGCTCAGCTTAAATATACAATCAACTACGTAGTTTGCATTCTGATGAAAAAGACAGAAAGAAGAAGTTAAAGTACAGATCTAAATCCTTATAACCCGTTAGTTATAAAAAACCTTACAATCTAACAGATATATAGTATTTAACACAGTAATTAAATGTATATAAACAATCTGACACTCAAACATAGAAAAACAATAAGCCTATTAATATACAGATATTTTTTTCTGCACTTCAATTAAACTTATTTCCTCGAATTATTCCAACTTATTTATCCGATTCCTTAATGCAAGTTGAAAAGGACATCAAAAACTGTGAATTCCGAAACTAAATATCTCAGTCTATTTTTGTCGTTCGGGAGTAACATTTCTTATATTTGTTTCATAACGAGTAAAATATGTTCTGAAATACAAGTATAGGAATAGGGAGATCACCTTAGTTAAAGTTAGATTTCATTATTTGTCCATTTTTTTTTATTTGATATTGTCGAAAAGCAAATTTTTCGTCATTTATAGTACTTCTGTGACTGGGAGTGTACGACTACGATCAACGATTGCAAATTAAAAGCCGGGTAATGACACCTAAGCCGAGTAAGAGAGTGGGTAAATATATATATAATTTTAGTATTGATGATTGCAACAATTAGATGTCATATCAGCCCAATATATAAAATTTCAACGTTCTACGGCTAATCATTTTTGAGTTATGAGAGATACATGCATACATACATACATGCGTAAAGACGGAACGGAAACGTCCCCTTTGAATAAATTTTAAATCCCTTTTATAATCCTTTTTAGAGAAAAGAGTCCGTTATTCGGTCCTTACGTATTGACACCACGCAAAAAATATTCCAAATGGAATCGGAACCGTCAAAACCATGGAGGTAAGAAAGGAAGGAGTGGCCAACCGACACTAGAAGTGAAGCACTGCTTGGAAGCTTCGGTCACCAGATGGGGTGTTCTTTGTTTACATTCAGAAGCTCGCTTGACAGTGTTCTGATAGTATTCTGACGCACGATAGTTCCATACAAATCGAAAAAGGGGACACTTTCGCATGAAAGAAACATTCATAGTGTGATGGATTTGTATAGTTTAGTGACATTTACGCAAAAAATCATATCTTGGTTATTTTTCGATAACTAACAGCGATTATCATTATGAATTCTAAGCTGTTGAACTACAAAAATATAGATTTTAACAAAAATGTTATGCTTAAAGAATGAAAAATACCTTACGGTACTTTTAAAATATTATACGTCTTTCGATACCCTTGATAGAGTACTCGCTACTTTTGTTTTATGTTCCAAATGCCAAAATGTCTTAAATAAAATAAATTTTTTTCACATCTATATATTATTGCAACATGTACCTTTTAAAATGTTTTAGGGGAGAGGCTTTACTGCTGCTCATTTTAAACTCATCGTTTTGATTTTATATATCTGAAAAATAATCACTTTGGGCTTACACGTTTTACTTATTTGGGTTAATTAAAAATAAAGTCCTTATTTTATTCCCTTTCAGAAATGTTCAGAGAAAGTTAAGTACTATTTAAAGTATTTTTCTAATTTCTAATAATTCTCTAATTTAAAATGAACTGAATAGAGCATTAATTATAAATTGACTTACATTTTTCGATTTAAAAGATGCCTCGGAAGCCAAAAAATCATGTCATATTTAAGAAAGTATTTTAGGAAGAAGTTCTATAAATAGAAAAGAAATAATGCATAATTTTAATATTAATAATACAATAAACTTTGATCTTAATTTTTGTACCTTAACTGAATAAAATAGAATTACCTTAAATTTTTTCTAATGTAATTAACGAAAACTTGTGAAAATATTTCATTCAAATGAAAAAATTCTGAGAAAACTGTTCTGTGAAAAGTATAGCATTTAATTCCGTTCAGAATGAAATGCTGTTTAAAAATATGTTGTTTTCATATACTTAGGACTCTGAAGTGTTGTAGAAAAAGAAAATATGTATATTTATATGCATATTTACGACGTAATTACAAAATATTTACATCCGATCGCGTCAAATCCCATTGTACTGAATGGTAAATGACCCAATGTTTTGGTCACTACGTAGGGATCGCCAGTGCTTCAGAGCAGGGTACGGGAGAAACCTGTTTAGGGCTACTCCATCTTACTTCCTACCTCCATGGTCAAAACGGATATTTTCGTTGAAATATGATACGCAAAAATTTTCGCGGTTAATAATTTCTTTACTTTGTACAAGGAAGTAAACTAATATATAAGTAATTTTGAAATATGTAGTTTATCGTCTCTTATGTATGCTAATTTTCAGGTAGTTAAGTGAAACTGTCTCCAGGCTGCGCAACTTAGCCCAGTTCTGGACGAAGTAAATTATTTCCCACTCATAACATCTGCGCTTTCATTTGATATAATTTCGGTTGTTTCTCGATAAGTCATATTTTCTTGTTATGAACAAGGAATTAAATTAACTGTTATTGTTATATTTTTCTTGCATTTAGAAAACCTGGCTTATAGTTTGAATCTGCGTTCTACAGAACAGCTAGTATAGCGATTATTTCCATAGTTATGCGAGCCTACCACCAAACAAAGGGTGGATCAAAGTGCAAACACCACCTAATGCAGTGGTTTTAAAACTCAGATTGAAGGCTGGCGGTATGCTTGATCAAAAACAGTTAGCGGACCGTATATATAACAAAATGAAACTTTTTACCAACAAAATAAAAAATATTAATTAAATTTTAAATTTCTATTACTAAATAGTTATCAAAATATACGTAAACAATAAAAATAACGCAAAAAGAAATTCAAGTTTACATTTATTTTTTATCTTAATGCTAAAGGTTGGCATAAGCATGAAATTCAGTTTATATTTTGTAACTGATATATATTCTTGCGTGCATACGGGTTCGTAACGGATTGAGTAACACAGAACCCATGATGGCTTGATAGAATTTATTTTTCCAAAAGGAAACAAATTTAAAGTTCTAGAAATTTACATTAAAGTAATCATCCAGCTCTTCTCAGAATACGAAGCCACAATCAATAGCTTCCATATCAGACTACTAAGAATATTAAACGCAACGCAAAGCAAAGCGCATTTAAAAAAGAAAGGCTAGAAAGGCTGAGATCTCTCAAAAATCCATATTATTCTGAACTCAAAAACTGAGAACAAATGCTTTCTCCAGTCAGTTTCTCCAGTCCAGATGCTTCCTTCAGCTGCAGAGAAATCTCTACTACCTTCCATTTTTCGAAATTTCTGGAAGGCATATAATGTTAAAATTAAAAATCAGGGCGGAACCAATGACAGTTACATACAGGGATCAATTACAGTCGTTCAGTTACAGTTGTTATACAGGGACCGGATCAAAATGTTGCCAAATGGTAGCCAAGTATGGCAACTTTTGGCGATTTCTCACCAAATTAGATGACGAAAATTGCTCCCTAAAAATCGCCAACTCGGCGATATTTCGCCAATTTAGCGAAATAGCTATTTACCTCAGTGTTAAATAGACATGCCAGTGTAATCTTATTTTTCTAGCAAAGCTTCGCTTTCTTAAGGCATTTTATGTTACATATTATACGAGATCTACCACAATTTTACGTATAATTTCACCAAAATTACTTATGTATATATATATATATATATATATATATATATATCTAAAAATTCGTAACTTTTTCCTCTTTTCAAGGACTGCAGTTTCAAATCGAGGGCAGTACCATAGGAAACAGGCATAGGCAGGAAGCCACACTTACAACTAAAGGAAATAAGTGCAATACTAAAACAATAATTTCAATAAATAAACATACAACAAATTAAGTACTAAATCATTAATTCAATGCATGAATTTACAAATTTGCATGAAAGTAGGATCATTGCCTTAGTTTACTATTTCCATTATATACACACTGGGGAGTACGAATAACGCCCATAGTAAGGTTCTAGACTGTCGTAATGAGCGATTTTGGGCTTAAAATTTGATGACTTACTGATGATGTTTTGATAATTTTGATGGCTGAAATGGGACTAGCCGGTGATCTCGTGGACATCACTGCGATAGGCCAATAATAACAGATGTAACTTCCGCTTCCAGGTCCTCTTGGTTTCTGGAAACCATCAGCAAGAGGTTGTTAGGGATGATTTGATCAAATAGCTCAATCATGTCGTCTGAATGCGTATGTAAAGACTTGGGTTATTTGTATCGAGTAGTCTACAGCGTTCTTTAATTACCTTAAAGATAAAAGTTCTTCCTTCATCGAAATGTAACTAAAGAGGCTCTCCAAATCTGGAAATCCAATGCTGTATCATTACATCTGCTACCGGGACGCCTCTTGATCAGTAATAGGATACGCTACAGGCCACCTTGGGAAGTAATGAGTGAAAACAAAGATGAATTTGCTGCTATTAGTTCGTGGCAGAAGTTTCAGGATGTCAAAGGCGATGCGTTTAAAGGACCCTCGTACATTGTAACGTTGCAGCTTCCCTCGGCTACGTTTTTTCAGTCCTTTCCGACCCGCAAGAGCTCTCGAACTCTACGCAAAGCCTTTATTATTCCAAAATTTTGTCCTCTTAGACGATTTCTGGGGGACTGCTACTATATATTTCTTTAAAGATGTCCGAAATCATAGAAGGATGAATTGCTATCGGAAGGCCTCTCCAACGTCTAATTCGACCTTCCGGTACAAGACGCCGTTTCGAATATGGGAGTGAGTCCCAGAAAACGCAGTATTGTTTTGCCGTAGGACTACAGATCGAAATGTCCTGCCAAGAAGTTTTTCTATTTGAGTACCCCATCAAATCACTTACGGGTCTAATGTCACCGTCTTCCAAGTGGGTCTTTCTGGTCTGGGTCAGATATTGTCCGAGTTGTAACTTGGACAACCGTACAAACCAGCTCGGTTTTTCTCTTCGACTCTGGGATAATATTGCCAGCTTACTGGGCAGGGTCTTCTAGACAAAGCATCAGCTTTGCTTTATCATGATACTTTCCGATGACGAACAGTGATGTCATATCCTTGCAGTTTCTCTCTCCACCTGGCTATTTCGCTTTAGGATTCTTGAAATAAAGACCCAGGTCAACGATGCATGATTTGTGCGAAGCAGGTATTTTCTGCCATAGAGGCAACGGTGGAAATGTCCTTCGGCTTTAACTATGGCGAGCAACCCTTTTCGAGTGGCATAGTAATTTCTGTCTGGTTTAGATAGACCCTTGCTCCAGTATGCTACGACATGTTCTTGACCGATTATTTTTTGTACAAAAACGCAATAATACTCTTATTTCTCTCATCTATATCAAGAATAAACTGTTTATCGAGCTGAGGATACGTCAGGTTCGTTCCATGCGTTAAACCTCCTTTAATGTTTTAAATGCATCCTCACATTCTATTGTCCACAGGAACTCCTGCTTGCTCTCTGTCAACTTCTGAATGGGTCTTCCGAAGGAAGAAAAGTCCTTATCAATTCTAAATATCTCCTACAGGTGCAAAGCAACAGAAAACTTCTGAGCTGTTGGACATTTTCGGGGCGTCTCCAGGCTTTAACTTTTCACACATTTTCTGGGTCCGTACACTCACCTCGGCAGAAATGACATATCCCAGGTAAGTCTCTACCTGTCTGCACAATTTACATTTGGCAGGACTTAGTTTTAGATTGGCTTCCTTTAATTCTAAAGCACCTTCCTGGTAATTTCGAATAGTTTTAGATTGAATTCTGTTAATTTCTAAAGCACCTTCCTGGTAATTTCGAATAGTTTTAGATTGAATTCTGTTAATTTCTAAAGCACCTTCCTGATAATTTCGAAATATTCTTCAAAACTTTTCCCGACGATGATGATATTATCCAGGTATATCAGACAGGCTTCGTACGAAAAGACATCTCAGCACGCTCGCAATAAAGCGTTAGAATGCTGCCGGCAAATAACGTAATCCAAATGTCATCGCCTAGAACTGCTATAGGCTTTCTCCAGTAATAAAAGCCGTCTTTTCTCGGTTATTAGAGTGTATCTATAGCTGCTAATATCCACTTTTTGAAAACAGCGTCGGAGCCCACTTGCTTCTATAAAGAATGTCCAAAATATCGTCAGAATCTTAGTTGAACGAAGTCCTGCCGTGACCTCGTTCAACTCGTGATAGCCAAAGCAAAACATAGTTGAATCTTCCTTCTTTTAGACCAGGACAACAAGAAAGGCCGAAGAACTTGTTGACTCGGTAACATTGCTTTTTGTCTGTCGTTTAGAAGCTTTCCTCCCTCCCTCTGTTTAATAATCGGTAGACATCTTGGATGCGGCCTGTTTGATAGATCATCTCCCGTGTCGATTTTATACTCAGCCAAACCATTCAATTTACTTCAGAAGATGAGCAGAGAAAAACATCATGAAGACACACACTACAGCACGCTCAGACATACACAGAGTTCATGAAGACACACACTACAGCACGCTCTCTTTATCACTTAGTTGTGCATGCTGCAGTAACTTTGATGTTAAGCTGTACGAAGGCAAAGACTCTAGAGTGCCATTGGTTCCTTAATGCTTGACTCTGAAGTACATGCGGCAAGCACTTCGCATTTCCTAATGACTTTCGCCTTATCACTTAGACTGTAACTCTCACGGAAGGACGGTCCTCAATAGGTCGACGAGCACCGAGGCTACTAGTAAGCCTTTAGGGGCTGTAACATTTCTGAGGATATTCCATTATGCATTATCGGAAATTTCTGCTTTCTCTTATGGCCCCCGGTAATAAAAATTCCATTTTTGCTGTAACTGTGATAACGTCTTCAGCTACGATTTGATCGACTGATTTAACTGCTTTGACTTTAAATCCACACAGAGTTATCCTCAGAAGCAGAACGCAGTTCTTTATTTTTAAAGTTCAAGGAAAATTTGTATTTCCTTAGAAAGTCTAATCCGATTACACAAGTGTCTGTAACATTTCCTACATATGCCGTATGAAGGTAGGCGACACTATCAAACATGATGTCAACGATTAATCTTCCATCGATGTCGATTTTATCCGCGGACACAGTCTGGATGATAAAACAAGTAAGCTTCAAATGAGTTTACTTTCCAACTGTTGAGCCAAATCATTTCAAATGTGGTGATATTCGCTCCTGTACATATAACTCCATTTTTATGTCCCATGGTGAAGAGCCGATTACTGCCGCTACTCATTGTAAAATTCTGAAGTGCTTTAAAATAAGGCTTCTTATTATCTGGCAAAATCCGCCCCACGAGATGACTCTTAATTAGATTTTCTCCTTCTTAATGGGAGTGGTCTGAGCTTCCGTGCTCTGAGGCCTTCTGCAGTTGTTTTGTACGTGGCTTCCAGCACCGTAGTTCCAACACTTTAGGGTGGGTTTGTTATCGCTCATATTGCGTCACAAATCATTGACTTGTTTGGTTAAATCGTGTATACAAGCATACACTTGATCCACTGGCGACTTGAGCAACTCTGATTGAGTAGCGGCTACTACGAGTTGCTTGCTGGGCTACCTCATATATAATAATATATGAGGCGCCTCATATATAATAAGGCGATTTTCAGAACCTTAACATCCGCCATTTGTGCCATATGCGGGGTATCTTGGATGGCATCGGCGAAGTACTTCAGGACAGGATTTCGCTTTTTCTCTGATGGACAGTCGTAAATGGCAAGATGAGACAACCTTTCAACACCTGTGGCGAACTCCTGAATGGTTTCTGTTAGCGAGATTTGTTAGCGAGATGTTTGACATAAGAAACATTTTCTCCGATTTGTTATTTGACAGCAGAAACTCTTTCTTCAGTTCCTCCAACTTCGTTTTCAACTGTGTTTATTATGACTTCCTTGCACGGCTTACTAAATTGCCTACATTTTTCGCTGCACTTCGTTTAAACTTATATCATCTAATTATTCTAAATTACCCCAAGTGTTCCTTCAATGCAAGGTGAAACTGACATCAAAAACTTCAAAATTTGAAATTAAATATACCGGTCGATTTTTGTCCTACTGGAGTCAAACTTCTTGTACTTCTGTTTTTTCATAACGAGTATAAAACTTAATAACCCAAATATAAGCATAAGAACCGGAGAGACCCCATTAAAAGTTAGATTTCGTTATTTCTCCAGAATAATTTTAAAAAAAAACATTTAACATTGCCAAATATTTGACTGTGACCTACGACTGCGAAACTAAACGCCGTATTTAAGGACTTTTAAGCACAGTAAGCAGGGTATGTATATCGATATATGTTTGCTATTGCAGCTTGCAGTGAAAAAGGGAGATATCCAACTAGATGTTATAACAGTCCCATACAAATTTCAACTTTCTATGGCTAATCATTTTTGAGATATGGGAGAGGCATACGTATGTGCGACGTATGTGCGACGCTTGTATGTAGGTACCTACATACAAGCGTCGCAAAAAAAATCCATTTTATAATCTGTTTTGAAATAACAGGTTCTCTGTTCCATCCGTACGTACAGACGTCAAGCAAAACTTTAGTCAAAATAGTTTCGAGAACAATCAAATGGATAGTTCCATTGACATATTGTCAAAATAGTTTCGAGAACAATCAAATGGATAGTTCCATTGACATCTGATAACCAAACGTTTTCGCGATTACAAGAACTAAAAAGTCAATTCGGCATCCTTATTTGATAATAACTCATCATTTCAAAGACAAACAATTAGGTAGTAGGACAAAATTCCAAGTACTTGTTCTTTTCATTTGGTGTTTTAAAATGCAAGGTTTTGTCTTCATATACTATTTGCATCAACAATAATTAACTACAAAATTTTAGTTACACACTAAAGTGCACATAAATTACATGTAAAACATTTAAAAATATAATCATTGCACTCACCTCCATTGTATGAGTTTTACCACTTGATGTCTGTCCATAAGCGAATATTGTCCCATTGTAGCCCATAAGAACATCTGAAAGATACGTTAAGGTGATTAAAAACTTTTAATAATAAGTAATATTACGAATTTTAGTTTATGTTTTAATAGAAAAGCCCATCATTTCAATAATAGTGTCTTTAACCCTCTGAAGCGCCAGGGTTTTTGCTATGAAAGCAAAAATTTCCCAAAACTACTATGAGAACCAATTGTGTTTTTGATTTTAATGTTAAAACTCTCCTGGTATTTCATACCTGAATTTGTTTTCTTTTAATATATTGCCATAATGTCTTTGACATATTTTAATATGCACGTATATATACGGTTTTACAGATATCAGAAAAAATATTCTAGAAGATTAATAAAAGTTTCTATAAGGTTCTTACAGATATCACAAAAAATATTTTAGGCCGCTTAGAAGGTTAATAAGATAAAGATCTTTAATAAGATTAACGTCGGGTTTTAATAAAATTAAGCAATTTTTAGTAGTGTATCATAAGTAATGAAGCTTGAAAAAAGCACTTCCATTTTTATAGATTAAAAATCAATAATTCTGCCATTAAAAATTAATAATTCTTTAGAAAAGGCTGGCATTAACTTTATTTTTCAAATTACTTGTTAGTGGCATGATATTTTTTTACCCAAACCTGAAAAGGAGGGAACAAGTGAATGACTTTTACAAGTAATTGAATGTTTTATATGTGTAATTAAACTTCTCTTTTCCGTTTGGATAATGGCTAATGATCAGAATAACATTCTTTATGTATTCTATAGAATTACTGACCATTCTGTTCAGTTGTCTAAAGAAAGAGCTTGTTTTGATTGCTTAAGAAAGACTTTTTTCACATTTCCTCTGCTTTTGGGCAAGTTTTAAATTACAATTTTTTTTTGTTGTTTTGTTTAGCCATATTGGTTGGTTTCTCTTTTAATACAAACAATTAAAAACGACGCCATGTTTGACACTTGTTACCTATGTCATTAGATGACCTCCCCCAAACCTAAGACTTCTTTTCCGGAAAGCCACCAATGGTTTCACAATAAGAAAACGCGGATTAGTTTATGGTTTGAAGTCCCTTTCAGTTTCTAGAAACTTCTTCTGCAAGATTCGTTTCAAATTTTGGAAATTTGTAAATAATGCTAAAAAATCGTTGTTTTCTGGTTTTTTCTTATTCCTTTTGCTGTTACTAAAAAAATGAGTCTATTTCATACTCTGAGTCTACTAAATAGCTCATTAGTAGTGAAAATTACTTTTTCTTTTCTTCCTCGATACACAACGACATTAGTCAGAAATTAATTAATTTCTTTTCACTAGTTAGTATAATATCAAAATTTTAACAGACGCTAAGGTTAATCGACTGTAATAGTTCAAGGAGTTCCCACTGCTGCTCCCTACATCTCAGATAGCATAGCATACCACACTCCTTCTGATTAAGAAACAGATGGGACCACTTCACCGTCCTCCCACTAGAAAGAACGTAAGTTAATTAATTCATATTCTTTTATGTATATTATGTACATAAAAATTTTTACATTTTCTTGTACCTTATTTTATAAATATCTTTCAATTTTCAACTTCTTTTTCATTAATTTTGCAAAGATTTCATTGTTTATTATGCTTTTAACGATTACGAATTCTATTACATATATAGTAAAGATTAAATTCTGTTTATTATGTTTATAAAAATAGCTTTGAATTAAAATGCATGAAAGCGAGGGCGGCGGGGGCATTTTACATGATAAAAAAATTTGCCACTACTATATCTTGCAAAAAATTTTATTTACTCCTACTCAATTTGGCAATAATATCTCGAAATTTCTAAAATTTTCATTAACTTAACTGAACTGCTACATTCATGATGAATTCTTTATATTACTTTATTTTAATTCATCTCACTTTAATCTCACTAAATAGATTAAAACTCGACTTACAAGTTTGGCTTTAATTCAAATTGCCAGTTTGTCATCATACTTCTTACTTGAGTGAAAAACGAAACACCTTCGCATTTATTAATTATTGTTAATTGAACGGGGGTTGGTTTGTTCCCCTTAAAACGTCAACCAATTTCCGATCAATGACGATAATTATTTAGTTTATTAATTTTAAAAGTTTCCATTTCTATTTTTCGTAATTCAAGTTCCTTTATAAATAGTATTTTCAGGATTAAATTTCAATGTTACCGGGTTACTTCACTCAGATACATTCTACGAACTTTCTATTAGGAGATAATATAAATCAATATTTAGTAACTAAATTAGTATTATCTTTATAGCTATTTGCGCAAGGATTAGTAAATTAATTGCAATGAATTTAAATCAATTAATTCAAGCTTTGATATATATATATATGATATAAATCATATATCATATATATATATATCACTAAAGGTTTTTAGCAAAACTGCTAAGAAACCTTGAAAATCATAAGCAACTATAGTGAAACAAAAGATAAATTTTTTAAATCAAAGTTATGAGGAAACGAATTTATTGAGAATGAATTAATTAAGACAAGTAAGAATTCAAAGTAAAGATTATTACAGAAGCGTTTCCAAATTGGGGAATAAAACCGTATAATAATGGAAGGCTCATAGGAACAACAACAAAATAAAACAATACCCTTAAAATGGGTAAAATAAAATAAAACTGAATAATGAATTTATAAATTAATTTTAACTGAATTTGAAAATGAAAATGAAAGAAAAGAAAATCTGAATGAAGCAAAAATCCACGTGTCTGTTCAATGAGTATTTCTCGGTACGTTATTTATACAAACTACAGCTGCGTAGCTGGAATAAATGAAATTAATGAAATATAAAACTAAATAGAGGTGTGAAAATTTTTGTCTGTTAAATTGAAAAATAAAAAAAAAATCTGAAATGTTTCAGATTTTAAATTACGTCCAAAGGGGCGTTTTTTAACATTTTGTGTGTTACCTTTCTTTATTAAATATCATGTTCCTCGCACTTAAACCATAAGATCCAGTGCAACAGCAATATCGCAAAATAGTTTTAAAACGAGCATATCTTTAGAATTTCCGATACAGAGACTCACGCGCTGGAGATAAAAATGTTTTTTCTGCACAACGTTGCCATTGCTCGCTTTGAAATCCTTGAGTTTGTTAATCAAAAATTCGTCAAAGTTTTAAAAAATAGGAAATCGATCATAAAACAAATTTCAAATTTCAAATTTGGTCTTCCACATGCTCATATTCGTTGGAGGATTACGTTATTCAAAATTCGATGACTCTATGTACCGTTATTTTATGACAATGTGAGAAATATACATACATTTACGCAGATTTTCATTATTTAATTTCTTCAAATATAATGCAGGACTCTAACATTTTATGGCAACAGTTTGAAAAGTGAACCGACATTTATCCGTCCGACGCAAAATGCCAAAACGAAACTAATAGTCCTTCGGGATTCAAATCCCTTTGGACTAAAAATCTGAAATTTTTCAGATTTTAAATTGCGTCCAAAGGGGCGTTTTTTTAACGTTTTGAGTGTTACCTTTATTTATTAAATATCATGTTCTTTGCACTTAAACCATAAAATTCAGTTCAAGAGCAATATCGCAAAATAATGTTAAATTAAGCATATCTTTAGAATTTCCGATATACACAGTCTCGCGAGCTGAAGATAAAAGTTTTTTTTTTCGATATAACGTTGCCATTTCTCGCTTTTAAAGCATTGAGTTTGTAAATCAAAAATTCGTTAAAGTTTTACAAAATATAAATATAATAAAAAAAAAATTCCAAAATTTGGGATTTCAGATGCCCATATTCGCAGTAGGATTTCGTCATTCAAAATTCGATGGCTCTATGTACCATTGTTTTATCACAATGCGAGAAATAGACAATCATTTATGCAGATTTTCATTATTTTTAATTTCTTCAAATATAATGCAGGACTCTAACCATTTTGTGGCAACAGTTTGAAAAGTGAACCGACGTTTATGAGTCCGACGCAAAATGCCAAAACGAAAGCAATAGTCCTTCGGGACTGAAATCCCTTTGGACTAATAATGGAGATTGAAATCGTATCGTATAAATGGAAATTAATTGGCATTAATTTCGTATAATTTAATTAATTTTAAACACATACTTTTAAGTGTCTGAAAACTTGGAAAGAAATTTAAAATTTAATTAATGATTTTAATTAATTTTAATAAATTTTTAAATGTATTTAATTATTTTAACCGTATGTAAAAGAGAACTTTTAATTATATGGGTAATGAGTGTAGAAAAATTTTCGAAAGGTAAAAAATGAGTTAACAGTAGAAAGTCTTCATTCGTTTGGCGTATGCTAGAACTGGAATGAAATAGGTTTTGTTCATTTAAAAAGCGTAAAAATGTAACTCAGTTCGATGTATATTTCTCAGAAGTTATTCATTTAGAAGACTATATGATGCAAAAATGCAGCCTAGAAACAGCAAAGGAAAAAAAATGCTGATTTTGTTTTAAAGAAATAAAAAATTTTATTAATAGTATAATTTTTTTAATAAATATGATGCGTGAAAAGAACGAAAATGATTTTAATTATAGTAAATACGTATCTGGTCTCTAGAAGAAAAGATAACTCAATCATTTTAGTGTTTTAAGTATTCGTATGGACTGCGGTTCCAGTTAGTTGGAATATTTAGAATTCTGTATACTACAGCTTTTCGAAAAATAAAAAGATCAATAAATCATTGGATGAGTCAGTACAGTCGTGTTAAAGAAGGAAGTGAAAAGCTGTCGCTGCAGTAAAATGCTACATTTATCAAAATATAATCATAAAAACTGGTATATTTAGTGAGTACATTTCTTGGTTTTCGATTTTAGATAATATATTGTCGTGAGACTGCCAGTTAAATAAGTTATGCTAAGAAGAACCGTGGTGTCGGCCAGCCGCCTGACCGTTTTCATGAGTCAGGTGACTCGCTGCGCTATCGATCTGGGCGGTGGCCACGGTCCATCTCCCACCGTCATGTAGGAGAGGTTTTCAGTTCATAAAATTCTTTTCCAGAGAACTCAGCTTCTACCACTACTCGAACTA